TTGCCCACTCCACCAATACTCACTCTGTGACTGCCAGGCCACACTCCCAGGGTGACTACCGCTGCCCCTGTGGAAACAATGTGGTCAACAAAAATAATTTAAAGGGGAAACAAAAGCATTGCACGGTCAGGCTACAAATGCTTACCTAGTCTTAGAATCTTTATTCTAGAAAGTTCTATGCTACAATGGGAGCAGCTGTTGCTGCCTTTGATGAGTAGAGAAAAACAACTCTAGTGGAAGGGGGGGTGGGGGGAGGAGCCAGAAGAAATCCTGGCCCAGCAGGCTGGGTTGGGTCCCGCAGATACAGTAGCCAGGGAGCAGGGCGCATGCTCCCCTCCCGAGATACTATTTCAGGAGGCTGGAGGAGCGTGTGTTCTTTGCCACAGGAAGAATGTTCCCTCAGACAGAACTGCTAATCGGGCAAGATGAAGGGACGAATGTACTGCCAGAGGTGGTTACTGTTTGCTTCCCGGCAGCCTTTTCACCAGTCCTTCCCTGAGTAGCATGTATTTTTGTCTTGCTAATTCACCCACCTCCTGCCATGCCCTTCATTTCTGAAAATGTGGGAATTCTCTGAGCCTGTGAGCTCAGTTGCAAAACCATGAGCAATTTTCCACAGCTACTCCATGTCATCTGTCTCTTTGACATAAAGAGGGAAAGAGGAGGGTGGGGACAGGGGAGAGGAGGGAGAGGAGGGAAAAGAAGGAGAAAAGGGAGAGGGAGAAGTATTTTGCTGACGTCAAAGAAGACCACACTCTACAGGATAATATTACTTGTACCTCAACCACCCACTCCCTCTCATTTACTAGAAACCAACAAAACAGCCTGTTTAGAAGCCCTTAGCCTTGCAGTCAGGTTTTTTTTTTGTTTGTTTGTTTATTTATGTGTTTTTTTTTTTGTTGTTTTTGTGCTAATTATCCTTTGACCAAAAGGGCCATTCATTGTTGGGAGTTTGAAAGCTACTCGATTCCCTGAAACAGAGGGGATTTCCTAGAGTAATAATTCAGACTGTGCTTGTGCAGGGCCCTGTAGCTAGAGTAAATTGATCCAGCTGTTTGCAAAGCTTATGGTAAAAGGGCCCGGGGAAGAGGATGGCATCTGCAGCTGGGGCCACTGTGGGGCGCTGTCACGTGGTCCTGCAGGCATCCAGCCAGCCTGCTTGGGCTCTGTCCCCTCCCTCGCCCCCTCCCTCTCCCCCACCAGGACCCCTGGGCCACCCCTTGCAACCCCGGTTGACTTTGCTGGCTGAAGGCAATTCTCCTGCACATGTGGCAACCTCTTCTTGGGAAATGCAGGACACCCAGGATGATGGGGGGGGGGGCATCTCCCTCATGAGAGTCCTCCCTTGGTGCTATGGCTGGCGTGTTTTGATCGCACTTCCCAGAAGCATCCCCCACGTCCTGTTGTCTGGATACACCAGGGCCTATTAGCAAATAAAATCAAAGCTGGCAGCAGTAACCTGTAACCCGAGGCTACAGAAATACCGATTCCACTACCCAGATGGTGGAGTTCAATGTGTTTTGCTGGCTAAGGCCGCGCAAGTTAATTTTTATCCTAGTAAAAAATAATAAACACTGCATTAGCAACTAAATGTTTATCAATTTGCAGTTCATTTCCAGCCAGATCATTTCGCCCCTGCGTGTTTTTACTGCTAGCCGATGCACTGGAGTGCTTTTCACCAAACCATATGTGGCTACTTAAGCCCTAGCCCCTGCAGCATTTATATGGCGCTTTTCACCTTAATTGGATAATATTATTTGGCTACTTCAGGCATGGTCCTCAAATATCTCATTTTAATGATAGAGAAACTGCAGTAAAGAAAGGTTTCAATGACCTGCCTGGGATCACCCTGCCATTTAGGGGTGACGCTAAACAAGGAGCCACAAGTTTTTGTTTTGCTTTTATATGTAGCACAGACCTGTATGCTCTGGACCAGGTGTCTGAGCAGGGCTGCGGTTTGTTGTGTTTCTTTTTCTTATCTTACGGCAAGTTAATATCAGAGGAGGTGGCAGAGAGCAGCTATCAAATGGAGCTGGGGACTTTGCATAGGAAGATGTGTCAATATAAGAAACGATAACATGTCCCTAGCACTCTGCGAGGCTGAGGCGGGGGCGGTCGCTCGAGGTTAGGGTTCGAAACCGCCTGGAGCGAGAACCCGGTCTCTTACTAAAATAGAAAGAAATTAATTGGACCAACTAAAATATATATATAACAAAAAATTTAGGCGGGCATGGTGGGCGCATGCCTGTAGTCCCAGCTACTCCGGAGGCTGAGGCAGAAGGATTGCTTTGAGCCCGGAGTTTGAGGTCTGTGAGCTAGCTGACGCCATGGCACTCACTCTAGCCTGCGGCAACAAGCGAGACTCTGTCTCTCAAAAAAAAAGTGATAACATGTAGAGAGTGTGATTGAACCTCAAGTACGTTCAGCTGCCCCACAGCCAAGACTTTCTGCAAGTGCTTTGGCTGGCTTTGTTGTCTTGGAGGAATTAGAGCCACCATTTGGTGGTGTCATCCAGTGTTTATCACTAGACTGTTGGAGCCAGAAAGAATGAATGGACCATGACAAAATGAAGTGATGGCTATCCTGTGATCATGCAGTTGCTAAACCTTCCCTCCAGCCACAAAGTTCTCCTTAATTTAAGTATGGAATAGAAACCTCAGTATTGCTGCATGGTTTAGGGCAGATCTAAAGCAGCTACTTGGGGAAGGGGAAGATAAAAGAGTTTGCAGGGCAGCAGGCATAATAAGTCAGACCTGTGTTCTGTCTTTATCTCCTTGGGAAAGTAACTCACTTTCTTGAAGCCTCAGTTTTCTCCCCTGAAAAAAATGAGGGCACAGCAGGATGTCCCTTACAAAGCTGGCATGTACATAGGGGACATATATACTCAGGAGTTGGCATAGGGCAAGACACTCAGGAAGTGCTCTTGTTTGGGAGAATTAAACTTGGCAGGGACCGGTAGGCGATGGGTCAAAGATACCATATATGCAACTCCAAATGTGAGATAATTTCCTAGTGGGTAGGTCACAAAAATTTTGTGTCTTTTTTTTTTTTGGCCATCTTAAATATATAAACTTTTAATGATGCAAGTGAAATAGTGTAATTTCTAGTTATAAAATTTTATTGGCTTAACGACTTGTTTATTTAGAATTACATGTGTAAATAGACTTATTGAGAAACACTGCCTTTGTTTTACTCATCGTCCACACTCTTCATCATCACTTGTCTTTGTCATCACTGAGCCCCGTTTTGAGTGATCTAACTCCGTCTTCCAGAACACGTCATCTTGCTTCTGCCCAGATGTCTTTGTGAGTTAGTACTCTTTGAGTATGTATGTTGTGGTCACTGGCAACGTTATCTCAAGCCTCAATATCCAGGCATTATTTGCCATCTCCACCAAGCTGACTTCTTGCATTGCGTTTAATAGGGATCTTCTTGGGGTTGTGGCTATGTAAGGAAAGGTTCATGTATTTTAGAGACACACGCTAAAGTAGGAAGGGGTGAAATGACATGAGGCCTGGGGTGTTTTTTAAAGGATTTCAGCCAAGAGAGAAAAGTAAAAGACAAAAAAAAAAAATGAAGAAAAGACATAAAGAAAATCCAGGAAATGGTTGATCTGGGTGATGGATTTATGGAGATTCATTGCGCTACATGCTCTTCTTTTGATATGTTTGAAAATTTTCGTAATAAAAATTTAAAATGAGCTTTAAAAGACTTGCTTACAATATCTAGTACTTGCAGTTGGAGATCACACCTTCAAGAACAACTACACAAACTTTTACATTTCTTTGCATTAAAAAAAACAAACAATAGCTATTCTTCCAGGCAACCTCTCTAAACATCCTAAAAACTAACATTGATGGAATTCCTTCCAGGGTATGTTTTTGTTCCAAATAAAGACATTGAGAGAGCACGCTATAATATGAGGAGCTTTTATGGACACAAATATAAGATGACATCACATATATATTTAATTATTATGAGTACATAATAGCTGTTATCTTTATAGGGTACACGTGATGTTTTGATACATGCATATGATGTGAATTAATCAAATCAGGGTAATTGGAGTATCGGTCACCTCAGGCATTTATCACCTCTGTGTGCTAGGGACATTCCAATTCCACTCTTTCAGCTATTCTCAAGTATACCCTAGGTCACTGTTGATCACAGTCACTTTGTTGTGCTATCAAATATTGTTCATTCTATCTAACTCTGTTTTTGTACCCATCAACCACCCCCACTCCATGACATCTCATATTGGCCTATGCATTTTATCTTCCTCTATGTTTTGCTGGTCCACGCAGACAGGGTTGGTAATGAGCCCAAATGGAGAACTTCCGTAAGTTATGGGAAGATCTACCGGAGTGTCCTTCATCAGAAGTACCCATTACCTAGTGCCCTTGTTGGCACTGGAGTTGGCAAGCCCAGGACAGCAGGGAACATGCAGCCTACAGTCCTGGAAGCAGGCCTGGTGGCACAGGCCTGGGTGTGGCGTGTCAGTAGTGGCATAAAAGGGGAGTGTCAGTGTTTTCTTCATTGGTCGATGCTTACCCCCCGGAGAGAGGGCCAGAGCCGTAGTCTGCATAGCTTGAGCAAGAGAGTGGTTCAACGATTATCTAGCAATCTCAGTCAAAGTCAGGCAAGAATGTTTGGGCCTAAGAGTCCTAATTACCACACTCTGAAGTGATCAGAAGACTGTTCCATATTTACTTTATGTTAATTTTGCAGCAATGGCTGTACCAAAGGAGGAAAATAAAGTTATTACTTTAAAAACATCATTGAAGAATAATAGTATATGCTTTCTGTACAAGCATGGCAGGTCACTTACCAACGAGTTACTTATTGTGATTAAAAATACCTACTGAATGTATGTGGGAATTCTGGAATTCTCTGGAATTCTTTTATTTTATTGTATTCGCCCCCACCCCCACCCCCCTTGCCGGATGTATATTGCGCTATGCCACAGTAGGCTGGTCATAATCTTTGAGAGCTTTTCTTCTGTCACTTTTTGGTGTGGCCTCATTCACACTCCTCCCCATTTCATAAAAGAGAGACTTTTGGCTGTTTTGAAAAAAGCCTCCCTCAAACATAAAAATCACAGAATAATGGCTTTAAGAGTGTCTATCTCAACTTTTCAGTGCTAGCAGATTTATTGGAATGCAGAAAAATAAGATAAACAAAATACCAGTGTGCTCAAACTGAGAGCAGGTTCCTTTTTGGAAGACATGTGTTTTTTTGATGAGCTAAGTGTTGATTCTAACCCAAAAAGAGGGAAAACTGTGAGGTTAGATAAGTGTCTGCTAGATTCATTATTGCCATGTGGATTCCGTGAAGTGGACTCAGAGGTCACTGGTGGTAGCTGCAGGATAAAGTTCACTTGTTGTTTATTCTCACTCCGATTGGGCAGTCACTGAAAACAGAATGTGAACTACCTTCTGGAAGCCCTGTGTTAACTTCACGTCTGCCTATGAGGGACACTTCCAGCAAGGAAGCGCATGATGAAGTCTGCAGGCATTACCTGAGCAATGCCAAGTGGCCACCGGCCAGGGTACAAGTTAGACCGGGGAATGGCTATCGAATGCAGTTGTTGGGTTTGGCACATCTTTCTCAGGCTGCTGAGCTGAGCAGGAAAGAGAGACGCTTGTTTGTGGATTTATCTCACCACGTTCTATAATGCACTCTTTAATCTGAATCTTTCTATTTGCTCAAGAGAAAACAAGTCTGACTTGCATAGCATCAAGGGTTTAGGCTGGGCGGTTTCCCTCTTTAACCCTTGCCCCCGTAGCGTCCTCTGCCTACGATTTCCTAACGCTGACTTTTTCCAGCAACCTGGACAGCAACCTCACAGGTGATTTGAGACGCCTTTTGGTTGTACTTAAAAATTTCCAACAGATTTGCTGCACACCCCATGATAAATATAATAGTTTCCTGTGGAATCGTGATGACTTCTCACACTACATTTGCAAGCGTGTGTATGCATCTGGATGAGAAACAGCCTGGGCTCTGTTCAGGAACTCCGCTGTGACCACAAAACTGTTTCTGTTGAATTTTCTTCGGTGTGGTCATCCCGCCTTCGGGTCAGCGAATCAGCGGCGTCTGGCACGGATGTTTTAACCTTAAAGCTTAATGTATAACTAGTATTTTTTTTTTTTCTTTTTTCCTTCTGTGTCAGCAGTTGGCAACACGACACTGAAAATAAGGGTTCTGGTGAGTAAATGGATGTCTGTGCATCCAGGGGAGGGAACAGTAGAGTAAGCAGTTTTGAAATTCTCGCCAGTGGTTGTTGCAAGTGATAAGATAATTTGAGTAACCTGTAAGACCTGTGGATTCACAGGTTTCAAAAACAGGAAAGTCTCTTGTTTTAAAACCCTCTAAAGCAACATGTGGGCTTAGAAAAGAAGCCGGCTTGTGGTTTGGTGATTGTACTTCCTTGTTGGTAGAATGGCCGCTGACGCAAGGCCTCCTGGGATTGCGGCGCCGTGACCGCAGGCCTGACGGTTACGCTGCCCGGCTCTGAAACAGGCCCGGGGCTTTCTGGACAGATGAGAAGTCTAAAAATTTCCCTTTTCATTTCCTCTCTTGTGTGACTTTGTCATTTTTTTGAAAAGCGGGTGCTAGAAAAGGGAATTTTGCCCCTGCTTTTAAGGAGTTTATCTCGACTTGAGTGGCTTCCCTCCCACTCCTCCAAAATCCCACCCCAAAAACCCCAAGCTAAAAAAAAAAAAAAGTAAAAAATCATCTATTCTTATAGATCTTTTTTTTTTTTCTTCAGATGGGTCTATGTTTAATTAATCTGCTTTTAGGCTGGATTCATAACAAGCAGGTCCTTTAAAATAGTATGATTTTTTTTTTTTAAAAAAACACACTCAGAGACCTTTCCATATCACTGGCTTTGGGGAAGTTTAAAACACAGGTAGACGCGACGTCTTCAGGAAACCTACCCTCTCCTAGCCTGGTGGGCAAACACTCCCAGGGCCAGGCTTGAGTTCTTAAATAAAGTGAAAGCAGATGCCATTCCTGGGTGGCATAGCGAAGTGACCACAGCACAGAAAGTTCAGTTGGCTAGATGTGTGGGGCTGTCTTCGGCCCCGAACGCATTCTGCATCAGAAGTAAACTTCAGAAAGGGGCTCCTGCTCTCCTGTCTGCTCTGGAGAGACTCATGCGTGACGGCTCGTGGGCTGACTCTGCATTTAGGCAGCTGCTTCTCTTATCTCTCTCCAGGACGAAAATAGGGCAGAAAGGTAGAACCCACTTCCATACCCACATTCCTCTTGGAATCACGATGCCCACATTCTTTGCATATAGGCAATCTTAGGCATATATGTTTGCATGTATATGTGTGTGCATGTGTTATTTATGTTAGTTGGCCCAGCCTGAGGGCTCCTTTTATTTTTCAGTGAATCGAAAGAAGATAACCTTTGGAAGAAGTGTATATTTCAGTTCTCCAGCAAAGTACCGGTGAAGCATGCCGACTCTCACCAAATGACCCTGTCTTGCCAATTCCTCTATCTTGGCTCTGATTATCTGCAACTTAAAACCAAGCCCAGGATGGCTGCACAGCATTTTACTGCTCTCTCTCTCTCTCTGTCTTCCTTTTTGGTAAGCCAAATAAATCTACCCCTAATCACGTCACTGAGGCCACAAGGAAATGTAATCCTGCCAAGTGTGGGAACTAACAAAAACTGCCAACGTCTTAAGGTTACAGAGAGAGATCAAGAACCACTTTCTGGGTTTTGCGTGTCTGCTATGCGTGTGCGTGGGTGCCGTGTGTATGCACCATGTGAGTGCCTGGGTACGGTGTGTGCATACTGTGTGTACACAAGCACCGTGCCTTTGTGTGTATGGGCATGTGTTTACACAGTGTATGCATGCGTGCTGTGTGTATGTACCATTTGCATGTGCACTGTGTGTGTATGAGCAGACTCGCACATGTGTACTGTGTGTGCAGCAAACCAGATGCCCCAGATCCATGGGATTCAGTGACAGCGGCTGGGAGAGGCTGATATGAGGAGGGTCTGCTTGGAAACAGGTAAATCGCTTAAGTGCATGGTGATTTTCATCTGGTTTGCTGCCCTTTCCCGCCTTAAGCAACGCACACAGAGACGGAAGAAATGTTAAAGATAGGCAGTGAGTGTTCCGCTTTCCCTGCCTGTCTGCAGCTCAAGTGAGTTCTTTTCGAGTGTTTTTTTTTTTTTTTTCTTAAGCTTCAGAAAAAAGGGGAGAGGCTTGGGATTGAGAAGACAGAGCCAGGATTCAACATCATCCTGTTCCTTTTAGCCATGTGAGTGTGTTTCCTGTATACCCAAAAGACAGAGAGGAGATGAAAAAGAAAAAAAAAAACAAAAAAAAAAAACAAACAACAAACCAAGGAGTCAGATTGGAAAGACAGTAGATGAGTTTGTATGTATAAGATGCAACTGCTACCCCCCCACAGGACTGGCGGCATGTCCCAGTTTCCTCTCTCTCACCTCACTGTAAGTGCTGACCCACTTCTGGCTATTTTTATTTGTTTCTTTGAAAATGCTCACTGTGCGATTAGAGTTGACTCTTGTCGACTTTGTTCTCATTCCTCCCTGCCATCTGAGTCCCAAAGTGCAGCCCTTCCCACCTCACTCCCAACAATTACGGGTGAGTGCAGAGCCAAAGGAAGGCAGGGTTTTATTGGTGATGTGACAAACGGGTGACCCCTTTCCTCACAATCAGAGACACAAGGACAAGCAGCTTGTACCTGCGCGTGGAGTTTTGTACCGAGTTGCCCTTTGTCCACTGGAGACGGCCCCTTTCCGAGTCCCAGTGCTGGGGGGGGGGGCATGCTGACGCCAGCCTCCACCCCCAGGTTTGCGGCTGGACCAGCCCAGGGCATCCAGCGTGTGTAGTGGCTTATCTAGGGTTGCAGCCTGAGTCAACAGTGGAACCAGGAAGTGAACTCGGGGCCCCGCATTGTATGGAAAGTTGGGTGTATATTTGCTTTTCTCTTAAAGCAAACTTTGATTTACTCTTTAATAAGTTACTATGGAGGATATAGATCTGGAGAAATTTGACTTGGCATCCAAATCTAAGTCACATATTGATAAGGAAGGAGAGGAACAGTGAGTCTTTTACGTTTTTCCAGCTTTATCATTAACCTCAAGTTTGGAAATATATTTGCTTTTAGAAGTGTCAGTTTCCCAGTTTAAGAGGGCGATAATTCCCTATTGATGAGGTACATTGGCACTGTTGGAAGCCCTGGAGGGGCCTGTGTGACAAAATAAGGAGTGGCCTCAACTTCAGACAGAGCAGGTTTGGATCTGGGCTCTGTCATTTACGGTGTCACCTGTAGTATCCCTTCCCTTCTTTGCCCTCAATTTCCTCATCTGTGAAATGAGGGTGAGAAGAATCTCCCTTAAGAAGGATTCAGCTAGGAGACAGATGGGAAGGGCTGGCTGGGAGCGTGGAACTGGGAGTCTACACTCGCCATAGCAAACTATCAGGGTTATGTATGACCTAAGTCATTTTTATTATGTGCAGTAAAAGTTGTTTTCTCTTTCCAGAAGTTTCTCCAGGACCTCCCCTGCATGAGGTACACAATGTGGTTGCATGCTCTGTGCTTGTCCTACTAGGGTCCCCATGAGCGGCTGGAGCTGCCCTTGCCTCCCTGCTGAGAGGGGCACGGGTCCTGGGGGGTGGCCGGGAGTGACGCTTCCTGTCCTTTCTGCTGACAGCACTTCCTCCTTAAATGCAGAGGTCTGCAAAAAGGGGGAAAAAAAGCACAAAAAGAAAAACGAAGCCCCCGTGACCCTTTTCATGTGCCTATGGTGATCTTTGGGGACAGGTTATTTCTTTGCTTGCCCAAAGGGCCTAAGAGAGAGCTTCCAGGGGAGGGCAAGCACCCTCTTTTGGGATGTTTCAACAGGCCCCTCTCCTGAGCAGAGTGCGAATCATGTTTTATGTTAAGGGCAGCAAAAAGGAGAAGAGGGTGACCCTTTATGACCCAGGAGGCTCCTACAGTTGTGGCTCTGGGGGAGCAGTTGCGGGGAAGGGCGCAGGGGTGGGTTGCCTGGGTGCTGGCAGTGCCGGGGGGCGGTTGTCCCTAGAGGGTTTAAGGGCAATCATCAACCTGGCTCAAAGTCAGACTACTTTTTAAAAAGTTCACTCGCCACACACCAGTAATTCCAAACAATATCAGCGATAAAATCTCCTTCCACCGGTGGCCAGTCCTTCTGCTCCCTCTCGCTGTGCCGTGCAGGGGGCGGAAAGGAGAGCGCCCGGCCTGCAGACAAAGAACCTGAGATGCTCCTTTCCTCTTCCCAGCAACAGAGGCCGGAGAAGACAGTGGGCGCTCTGGGATCCTCGGGGGTCAAAAGAGTTGCAAGAGAGAAAGAGAGAGAGAGGGGGGGGGAGAGATTGCTGGCAGCCTGAAGAGACAGGAGCACAGCTGGCTCTACCTCTCCCAGCTGCCAGCCTAGGAGGTGGGTCTGGGAGTGGAGCCCACGATGGGGCCGGGCTGGGTCATGGTCGCGTTTTGGAGAGAACATGGTCAGCAGACCACACGGCCGAGCCCAAGCACAGGCCAAGTTCGCAGAGCTGGAGGTGGAGGGCGTGACAAAGAACTGTGCATCCCTGCGCGTAAAGACGCCCTCTCCTTCTGTCCTGACCTGCAGCTGCGTGTCCTGGCCATTTCTGGTGGAAAGAGCTCTGAAGACCCCTGCTTACCAGCAGGGGCAGGCTCATTTAACCATCACAGCCACCTGGTGAAGTAGACACAGTTAGGCCCATTTCACAGATGAGAAAATCAAGGCTCAGAAAGGGGCAGGAACCTTCCCCAGTGGGAAGCAGGGGGTCTACTACCACTTGTTTGGCCCTAGGGCTGCAACGCCTCCACGCCTCACTGCTCTCAAAGGCCCAGCGCCCACCCACCCCACCTCACGGCGGTCACCATTTCTTTCCAGTGCTTTGCACTGTGCTAGAAGACGGTTAGGGGAGGGGGATGCATGGAGCCCCCCCTCTCCTCCCCCTCAAGCTCAGCAGGGCAGCTTATTGTGATTCAACCCAAGCCTGGGGTGTCACATTTGGGAGGCCTTGAAGGACACTGTGCCAGACAGACAGATCCTCAACGACTGACTCCTGCAGAGAGGCAGAACAGATGTTCCTAGAGCAGCTCGCATTTTCGGGTGGCCCTGGAGGCACGTTCCTGACTCAACCCCTGGGAATCCCGCTCCGTGTCACTCGAGGCGGGCCGGCTGCAGGGACTGGCAGGGCTGAGGCGCCTCCCTGCTGCAAGGGCTTTTTTTGGCATGGAAAATTTGAGCGAGGCTCTCACCGCCACCTCTTCGCTCAGGATTTGCTCATCTCTCCCCACCTACTTCTGAGGGCTGGAGCCTGGAGGAAGCCTCAGAAGCCGGGGAAATGTCTTGCTCAGGCCGCTTGCTCAGGCCGAATCCACTGTGATGGACGGATGAGACCTCGTCCTGACTCATCACGGCCCGGCCCCAGGTCCCCTGAGCCGGGAGCCTGAGCCACGAGGCTTCAGGCAAGCCCAGGCTGTGCCAACGGCCCTGGGCACGTCAGGTCTCAGTTGACCAGAGTTCCAGACCCACGCGTTCCGCCTTCATCCCGGCTTCCCTCTGCGTTTGAACTCTTCCCCATTCCAGAGAGGTCTCTACCTTAGAGAAAGAAGACCTGGCCTGTCTCTGTTATTTATGCGTGCCCCTCCCCCACAGTATCTCCCTTTGTTCCGCAGAGCAGAGCACATGAAAGGCTTTTGGGGAAGGGGAGAAGTGCCGCTTGGTGACTTGCACAGGAAATTGGAAATTGGAAACCCAGGTCTACCCCCACTCCTCTGACTCACGCTTAAACAAACCCAACGCACGCTCTGACCTTTGCTCCCTCCATCTGTAGCCGGCCATACCTGCCAACAGCTCACTTCCCCGGCCACGGCCACGCTGCCCCGCCGGCCCACAAAGTCCAGCATTTGGCCAGCTTCCTGGGGGAATGAATCCTTCAGATCCAAACGAATGCTATGCATGCAGCCTCTCTGATTTTTTTTTTTTGTCTTCAACAAAGTGAATACTTACATTTTTTTTTTTTGCTCTTTAAATTTTCATCCATTATATTCATCAACACAGAGAGATGGAACATTTGGCAAAATTATTTTAAGTAGCACTCCAACCTGTGATCGTAATTTCAAATCAAGGAATTTGCTGAGCAGCTGTGGGGAAGAACAAAGGGCCTGGGAATGATTTAGGGCCTGGGGGAAGGGAGGCAGGGGAGCTGAGACCCCAGGCAGTAGCAGAAGCAGCTGGGGAGGTAGGCTGTGTGCACCCCGTGGGGAGTCGGCCTTCTCAGCCCCGCCATCCCGCCTACAAGTGTCTCCTCGTCACAGTTCTCATGTGCTGAACGTACCACACGCAGCACTTAAAAAACACGTAGACTGAGCAGAGCATTGAGATTCGAAGTAATGCCCTAGCTGACAGCTTCAGCTCAGGAGTTGGACGGGGCTGGCCTTGAACCGTGACTCTGCCACTCACCAGCCTCAGTTGAGTCATCTGTAAAATGAGGGTAATTCTAGCAAATGCATCGTAGGGATTATTATGAGGATGCGTGTTTACTTGGCTCAATCACTGGCGTATAACAAGTGTTCCAAGTGCTATTGTTATCACCCATATGCAGAAATGTCCAATTTGCACGCTCGTTTTTTGCAATCGATTCACTCAACAAGCATCTATTGAGCACCTATAATGTCCCAGGTGCGGGGCTGGGTGTTGTAGGTACAAACATGCAAACCATAGAAATTAACATGCTATTTGATAAATAAAAAATAATTCTATTGAGTTAAAAAGTAATAATGACTTCCAAGACTATTTAAGTTATTTATAAAAGAGCCTTTCTTAACAGATGGTCTATTAGAAACAATTTGGAAAAAATGTATGGGGTTAAAAAAAATACAAAAGGGAAGCTGTCTTGTTTCTAATTGTTTTTGAACTTGTTGCTTTTCAACACGACTGTTATCTAAATTAACTGAATTTCTTAAAATAAGCCCTGCTTCATACCCAGGAACCTTCAATCAGCTAATTTGCAGATAATGTGCCAACAGTCTGGTTTGTCTGAGTGCCTTTCAGTGACACATGGACACTCAGGAAGGGTGTCATTTGCCAGGGATTATCCAGTTCTGCTAAATTACAGTCTTAAGCATTAGAAGCCATCTAGTTCAACCTCTCATCCTTTTAATGGCATTGCTGGTGGGTGACAGCTGAGCTTCTGCTCAGACCCTGCTAGGAATGGAGACCTCGCTACTTTAAAAGGTAAGTGCTGGCCGGGTTGAACAGCTCTAAATGTTCAAGATGGAATAATTCACGGGAAAATGGATTTAAATGAATTTGCATAGCACCTCTAAAGGACAAAAAGCCTTTCTGTGGTGTTTCCTTTCATCTTGGTCTCTATCACCTTCGTTTGGTCTTGTTTTGACTTCCCGTCCATCTTCCCCTTTTGCCCCGAGCTGTCGCCTGTCCTCTGCCCCGACCGGGACAAACAATAGCCCTGGTCACTATTTAGTGGCCAAGCGTACCATGCCTCAGAAGTTCGGAGCCGACGCTCAGTTCCAGTCTCTCCTGTCCCTGTTCTCTAGGGTGGCTCCACCAGCCTCTGCTTTCTTGGAAAACAACAGCGAACTTTGTCCTGCCAAAGCCCTATTTCCCAAACTCTGATATTTGCCCACTGACCCTCCCTCCTCCAGCTGCTCCCAACTGCTGACCGCTCCCTGCTCCCACTGCACTGCCAGCTCCTGCTGTTCCGGCACTTCCTGGAAGGCAGCCTCCGGGGTCCGAGGCGGACAGAGCACCAGCCCTGTTGCCGTGGCCTCGGCTTTCTAGGCCTGAATCCACGACCCGATGGTTGGAAAGAGACGGGGTGTGCACCTGCCTTTGAAGCCCGTGGGGCCAAAAGAAGGCTGAGCAGCACAGCTCCACAAAACCCCGAGTTGCTTTGTTTGGTTCACACTTTGGGTTGCCTGCGGAATTGTTAGAATTTAAAAAAAAAAAAAAAAAAAAAAGCAAGTGCAGAGCAACTAAAGTAAAAAGGGAAAAGTGATAAAAGGGAAAGGTTTATTTTTGGAGCTCTTGGATTCTGAAACTCCTTCTGACTCTTTCATCCTTTTTCTCTTCTGCTTCTCCTAACTTGGTTCCTTGTCCTCACAGGGAATCTAATTCTCTGATCTCACTCTGGGCTCTGGGTTTCTGGATCTTAGAGTGAGCCATTTTAATGACACCCTTCCTCTGTTTCCTCTCTCTCTCTCTCTCTTTGTCTCATTCTTCTGGCTACTGACAGTGGCTGGAGAAATCCATGCCCTGGGGCGATTTGTTCTAGAACAATCTCCCAGAGATTTGGCTCCCCCAGAAGTCTCAAACCCACCCTCCCATCCAGAACATAAGATGGGTTTTGTTTGGCTGGAATGATATTTAAAACGAATTGATTTAGTTACAAACATTTGTGAAACAGGAGATCACCAGGAAATCCAGACGTTTAGCTCCACTTGCAGGGTTGGAGAGCTGCTGGTGCCGGGTCTTTGCTCACTGCAGAGTGGCCACTAGTTGGAGCTGAGGGGCAGCTATGCCTCTGGTGTGTGGCACACGCTGTCTATTTGCCACCGTTTCTGCAGCAGAGGAGAATGTCTGCCTGCACCCGGAGAATGACAATTACATGCCTTCGCTCCACGGGCTTGTCTCGTTCCCACGCCCCAATGACCTCACGTATGAAGTGCCTCCCTGTTTCTCTGGGCATCCACGTT